CATGGCGCATCCTTCTTTACCGCCACTCTGCATCTATGCTGGGTTCCATAATTCATTGCAGTGGCCACACGGAACTCACAAACAACACTCATGGTTAAGGGGGCCTTTTAGGTTAATAGGCTACCCTGAGTCAGGATCATGAAACAGTAAGGATAAAGTCACTGATCACCTCAGCCAGCAGCTCAGTCTCTCTCCGGTTCTCAGCCACGTAGTCCCTTATTCTTTGCCACCATGGCAGAGAGGTCGCCCAGGTTTCCGGGCTGCCCCTCAGAGTCGCTGTGTCACAGTCTGCGATGCATCTGTCTCAGCAGCCTCCACCGCTCCAGACGAGATCTTGAGCGGCTCCTCTGAGGGCCTCCCCTTTGCTGCCTCTGCCACGGCTTCTAAGATGGCTCGTGATTACAGCCGCGAGGGTGGTAACCAAACTGACCAATACCCTCAGTGTTACACTACCCTAATTGCATAGTATCACCCAATCATTTGGTGGGAGTTACAGAAACTTGGGTAGAAAAACAGTGTTAAGACATGAAAAAATATGTTTTTATAAATTATCAAGGGTTCATGAGGGAAGGAGGGAGGGGGGAAATGAGAAGCTGATACCAAGGGCCCAAGTAAAGCAAATGTTTTGAGAATGATGATGGCAACAAATGTGCAAAAGTGCTTGACACAATGGATGGATGGATGGATGGATTGTGATAAGAGTTGTCTGAGGCCCCAATAAAATGATTTATTAAAAATATTTTTTTTTACTTCACCATATCCTGCAACCAACAATATCCATTTTCTTAGGCAGGCTAGCAGGCAAAATACAACAAACATCAAACAATTGATACTTACATGGACGACACCCACCAAATGCAATTTGAGCCACAAATCAGTAACAGAAACAGTTTTGGTGAATTTAAAATTCACAATTCTAAAAGATTCACTGCACTCGTATAAGTTTTCTATGCAACATCACAAATTACCACACAGTAGCTTGAAAGGGCACCATTATTTCACAGTTTCTGTGGGCCAGAAATCTGGACCTGGTTTAGGTGGGTCCTCTGGTTGGACCATGACATGTGGACCAAGCTGTGTTGGTTACTGGAGCTCAGGGCACCGTGTCCAAGCTGGCATGGTTAACTTCAGGTTGACAAAATTCAATTCCTTGCAGCTGTTGGTGTGAGGCCCTCCGCTCTAGAGCCCACCCGGTTACTCCCATGCCCCTAGGCAGCTCACGCCATAGCAGCTTCTACTCGGTCGGCCAGAGGCCTCTCTCCAGCCTCTGTGTTGTAAGCATGAGAGGGACACTCACCACCTCCCATTGCAATGGAGCTCGAATTGTAGTATTTTATTGGAAAGAAGCAAGTCAAAGGTCTCATTTGCTTACACCAGCAAGGGATAAACTGAGTGGGGGGAGGCCATTTTAGAATTCTGCCTATTGTACTCACTGATTAGAGAAGAAATCATAATGGAAATTAGAAATTATACAAAACTCAGCCAAAATGATAGCTATACTAGCCGGATATAGTAAACGTGGCAATCGGAGGGACATTTATAACCCTAAATGCATGTATTAGGAAAGAGTAATGTTTGGAAAATCAATGCAGAAAGCATCCAATAAAATCATTTGAAACGGAATTAAGAAAAAGTGGAGGCGATAGGAATGCTGAATGCAGAAACGTATAGCTTTAATGAAAGAAAAGATGGAAAGGAGTAGCTGGTTGTTTGAAAGCCTCTGGCAAAAATACTGAAGAAAAAAAGTGATCCTAAAATGAAAAGAAAAACGTTAAAGATAATAGATTTAGAGAAATAATCGTATGAACAACTTTATTCCATAAAATTTGAAAACTTCGAGTATATGGACCATTTCAAACACCAGACTATTATATTCAGGAGGACTAGAAATACTACACTTGATCGTAGCCAAAAGGCCGAGAAGCTATGAGAAGGAATAGAAATAATGAATTCGGGTGCACCATTAAAATTATTCAATCAAAGGTGATGACATTCAGACACACCATGCCATCTTTCTGTAGCGTGCGTGTACACACGCGCGCGTACACACGGGTGGGGGCGGGAAAACGACAACAATCTCGCAATGCTGAACATCAAGAACAAGGGCACGAAATGAATCGCACACCGACTGTAAGGAGACGGTGAACCGACACAGAAGACGAGGGGTAGCTCTGCCAGCACCCTGACTCAGCAGAGCCATCCTGAGGCAAAGCCACTGTGGATCTCCGAGACGCGCTAAGGCAACTTCCCCGCCGCCCCAGTAAGAAACAGAACCCGAGGAGGGAGGGCAGAGTCCCAGGGACCTCGGCCTCCACAGTCAGCAGGGAGCTAGGACGCAGAGACAGGTTCACTCCAGAGCAGTGGTGTGGCTGGTGCACACAAAGCCACAGACCCTGCACCCGCACACTTGTGCTGCCCAGCCAACCGGCAGTGCCCAACAACCTCGCCCACTGGCCGGAAGAGCACGCCGCCCCTTAATGACTAGACGAAGGGATCCTCCCACCAAAAGCCTTAGAGAACTACAGCTGGGACCGCCCTCTGCCCCCACACCCAGCTCTGCCAACCAGCACCCACCTGACCCAATCATTCTAGCAACACCCTTTGCCCATCGCCACCCACTGCCCAAGGGCCCACCCCTGCCCCTCATCCAAGCAGCACAAGACCACTCCAGCACCCCTGACCCTCAGCCCAGTGACCCACCCCTCTGAGAACCATGGGGCTTCTCTGGCTGCTCCAGCTCCCCACCCACCAGGACCTTGACTCTGCTTGCCAACTTCCCCCCAGTGGTATTGAGAATGCTCCCGCCCCCTGGGCCTCTTACTACCAGAGAGGTCTATGGGCCCCCATCCCCTGCTCACCTGACACTTAGACCTATGTGATGTCTTGTCGCTGGTGCCTAATCCGTAGGCCCAGGTGACTTGGGTCTGAGCGTGCTCAGTTCTGGATTTCCCATAGGCATCTTGTTTTCCTAATCCTTCTTAACTTTGTCCTTGTGCAAATGCACATGCAGCCCTTCTGTCCTTGAATGGTTCTAAGGTGTGCACCCCTTCCTAGTGTTATTTTTCCCTTTATAAAGTGACGGGTCTTGTGAAATGACTCTTTAGAAACTCCTAGCAACTTAGAGGAAAGATCTCTATCAGAGCCTCCAGCGTGCTTTCTATGTAGCGGCGCAGGACAAGGGCCCATATCACTGGATGCTCCAGCTTACACATTAAGGCAAGACATAGAACTATATATGAGGATTAGGAAATAATAAACAAAACTCTATTTTTTGTAAATGATAGAACTGCCAAGGAAAGTCAAGAAAATACCCACCCAGAATGCTAGTATTGAGAAGAAAGCTTCCAAGTTTCCTGAATTCATTAACAGTCATTGAAAGTCCATCTCATTGCTACTTATCTGAGGAAAAACCCATTTTTTTAAACGTACTTTGTTTAAAAGATCAAATTTAAGACATCAATATAATCTGTAACGTGCCTAGGAATAAATCTAACAGAAAACGTGTTATTTCCTGTTATAAAAAGGGTGGCACTTACTAAAAGACCTTGTTGTTGCTTTTCGTTGCCATCCAGTGGGTTGTGACCCGGGGCTTCTGCAGACACGTCAGAGTAGACCTGTGCTCCATAGGGGGTGGAAGGCTGCACCCTTAAGTCGATTACCTGGCCTTCCTTCAGAACCATCTCTGCATGGCTTCAATTGCCTCACCTCCCTTGAAATCAATACAGAAACAGATCAGCAGGTCCTTTCTCCCGTGGAGCTGCTGGTGGATTCCAACCTTTCTTTTAGCAGCGAAGCACATGGCCATTTGTGCCGCCCAGGGAGTCCTGACTACTGAGTGTAAATCCGACAGGTATATATTGCCACCACTCCCACAGAGCCAATTCCAACCCTGGGTTAGTCTGGGTAGACTAGGGAAACAAATCCAGTGACATATGTGTATACGAGAGAACTTTATATCAAAGAGTAATTGTATATTAAGAAAACATCCCTGCCCAGTCCAGTTCAAGTCCATAAGTCCGATATTAGCCCATATGTCTGATAACAATCTATAAATTCCTCTTCAGACTCATGCAGCACATGCAATGACACCCAGTGCAGGGAGATCTCAGGCCAGTGGGTGAAAAGTCTTGTGGATCCAGTGGTAGTGGGAGCATCTCAGCACTGACATGGGTCTCCATGTGGCTCCTCCAGCTCCAGGGCTCTGGCACCATCAGTGTATAGCTCCATGTTGCTTGCCATCAGGAATGTCTCGCAGAAAGACAAGCAGAAAGCATGTGTCTGGCCTCCAATGAGCTATTTATCTCCATAGCACCTCCAAATTAGGTCATCAAGCTGCAACCTGATTGACAGACTAAACTCCACCTCTTTGAAAGTTGACAGGAGATTATGTAACTACCACAAATCCACAGCCACTCTATACAGGGCTTCCAAGGCTGAGAATCTTTATGGGACCAGAGAGCCAGATAACCTTTTCCCACAGAGCAGCGGGTGGATTTGAACCCCTGAACTTGTGGTTAGCAGTCCAAAGCCAACCTGACAGCGGCACTCGGGCTCCTTCAGATTCCTTATTAGAGTACTTTAAATATTGCCTAACTTTTCCTAGGCAGAAGATTGACTTTATTTTACACAGACATGCTTGTTCTATTGGCTACTCTGAGTGTTTCAAAGGTAATTATAGACAAAATAGAGGAGTCCTGGTAGCACAGTGGTTAAAGCACTAAGCTGCTAGTCAAAAGGTCAGAAACTCGAACCCACTAGCCTTTCCCCAGGAGAGAGATGGAGCAGTTTCCTTCTGTACAGATTTTCAGCCTCGGAAACCCGAAGGGGCAGAACTGCTCTCCACCAGGCCTCTGCAATGGAATGGACTCTCAGCCACAGTGGACGGACAATACGATAGAATCAGTAGCGCGACCACTGTTCTTATTTTAATAAAACCCTTCATTGTTCAGGCTTATATGAGATCGTGGTTCTAATATATGAAAAATGTTCTTCGCACACAGAAAAAACATCGTTGACCCAGAAGATCCTCGATGTGCCCGACTGACGCTCACTGGCCAGATGATCACAGTGTCTCCAGAAGAAGTAGAATTTGCCAAGCAAGCCATGTTCTCCAGGTATCTGCTTTCAAGCTCGTTTGCCCAGAACTATACAGTAAGGTTGTGTCGTGGATTATGCATTGGGCTACAAACCACAAGATCAGCAGTTCAAACCCACCAGCAGCTCCTTGGAAGAAAGATGAGACTCTCTCCACCTGTAAAGGTTTACAACCTGGGAAACAAACGAGGGTCACTCTTGAGTTGGAACTGACTCGACGGCAGTGGGTTTTTCAGTGGTCAGCCTCGAGGCACCTAATGGAATCACATGATTGAGGTCTCATTGTGGCAGATCTCTACGTCCTGGTTCCATCCCTGTGCCCGCTCTCCTTAGAAAACTAAGCGACTTAAAACGACCGACCGCAGTCATCTTGGCTGTGCAAGTGTTTGGAGTGAGGGAGCACTGAGGCAGTATTTTACTTTCAAATGGTTCCAGGGGAAAGTTCTTTCTACTGTACTTTGGATTTCTTTCTGAGTTTATGATGCTTTAAAAAGAGAAAGAAAGAAATCATATTTTTCCTTAAAGAATGCTAAGCTATTATATTACTTCATTGCTGCTAGTGTTTTCCCAGTGTGCAATTGGTCTCTGGATTTTCTTTATCGATGGTTTGGATATAAGGCAAATGCTTCTTTTCATGAAGTTAGAAAACAAAAGTAAGCCACCATCCTTGCCCTCGGGATATTGCAGTGTCGTCAGAGGAACCCTGGCGACATACTGGTCACCCATTGAGCTTCTGACCACAAGGTCAGCAGTTTGAAACCCAGCCACTGCTCAAGGGAAAAGATGGGGATTTCTACTCCTGTAAAGAGGTACAGTCTCAGAAATGAGTCAGAATCAACTCAATGGCCGTAAATTGAGTTGAGTTGAAGGGGAGGAGGTAACTCGGCAATAACAGACAGCTTGGTGGTCTTTGTCCACTCCATATGGCTCAGCAGTTCTGAGCATTCTGCAGGAATGAGGCTCCCTATGAACGGGCTTGTTTCACAGGCTCGCCGCTCTTTAAGCATTTCATGCAGATCACACCAAACCGCACTCGCTGCCACTGAGTCGATCCTGAGCCACCGCAACCCTATGGAGAGTTTCGGAGGCTGTGAGTCTGCAGGAGCAGGCACCTCATCCTGCGTCTCTGGGTGGCTGGTGGGTTGGAACATGGTTTCCTCTGCACGCTCTACAAGCACACGCGCTTGTGTGGGTTGCTGCTAGTGTTTGCCTTCTTTGCTTTTTCTTGTGCGGAGATCATCCGTTTTGCATTCAACCGTTCACTGACGTTGTTTCTACTCATCCGTTGCTGTCCCCTCAGCACCCCTCGTTTCTTGCTCTCTCCCTCGGCTTCCTGTCCCCTCCTCCTGCTTTCCCCGCCCGCGGTCTTTGTCCTTCACTTCGTGCTGCCCTTTCGAGAAAAGAGTTTATTCTTCTCTCACAGAGGTGCATCCAGTTCCAAACTGAAGGGTAGCAGAGGCGAGACTAAGTCTTGGGGGCTCCACCTGTCTCTATGCAGCCAGTAAGCCTGGTCTCTTTCATGATTTTGAGTTTGTTTTTGTTTCTGTTTTAATTTTAATTTAGAGAGTGAGTAAGTGTGAGAGAGTGAGTGAGTCAGTGAGTCAGTGAGAGAGTGAGTGAGTGAGTGTGAGAGAGTCCATGATTTTGAGTTTTGTTCCACATTTTCTCCCCTCCTCCAGCACCCTCTAGGGTGATCCTTTCAGAGCTGGTGGCGGTGAAGACCAGCACTGACTAGTCCTTCAGGTCTCAGAGCTGTGGAGACTAATGTTTGTAGGGTCCGTTCGTCCACTGGACACATGTTCCCATAGGCCTTTCCGTTTCATCAGTCTTCTTCCTCGGGACTGGCAGACACCAAGGATTGCACTTCAGGCCCAGTGACTTGGTACCTCGAAGTGCGGAGTTAGTTCTAAGAAGTATTCATACTTTTGCCTCCAGTGTGTTCTGCCACATTCATGGATACATTTGCAGCAAAGCTAAATACACCTAGCATTTATACCCCAAGTGCCCTCCCCACACCTGTTCAGCCTGCCTGTCTATCTAAGCATTTACTCATCAACTAAACAAAGCCCTCACTACCATCAAGTCGATTCCAACTCATAGTGATGCCATAGGACAGAATGGAACTGCTCCTGTGGGTTTCTGAGATGGCCAGTCTTTCTCCCATGGAGCAGTTGGTGGCTTTAAACCACTGACCTTATGGTTAGTGGCCTAACCTGTAGCCACGACACCGTCAGGGCTCCTATCGGCTCTCATAGATCATCGCTATGGTTGCAGGATTGCTGCTACCAGTGCTTTTATAGTTGCTGGTTTTGTCTCATTTTATAGTAGTCCAGTGACCAATAATGTGCTGATCAGTATGTGTGAACCTGTATCGATCACCTTTTAAAGCATGAAATCATAGTTAAAGAAAAGGACAAATCAGTTACGAATAATGCTGTAACCAAAAATGTTGCAAGCCAGTGTGGAGAGATTTTATAGAACAATTCTGTTGTTAGTATTCGTCTAATCTAAGAAAGATCACATTTATACCATTTACACCTATATTTATCACACATTCTCTATGATTAAAATGGATAATGCACATTACTAAAGACTGTATGGGCTGGTATGGGGGGAGTTCTGTGGAGGGAGGGTTGGTGGCGCGTGAGCTATCTATCACACAGACTGATGCCCACCCTGGTGCTGCCACTGCACAGCTTTAGAGCAATCTCTCTGTTGCCCCCACAGGCACCCAGTCATGAGGAAGTGGCCGCGCCAGTACGAATGGCTCTTCATGAAGATGCGGGTAGAGCATGTCTGGCTTCAGACATGGTATGGGGGAGCAGCCGAGATCTCAAGAGAGGAATATTTCAAAGCAGTTCCAAGAAAGGCCTGATGGAGTGAGGAGGGGGAAAAAACCCTGTGTTTGCTTTACCACGAAAACGTTTTCAGTGATGTTGCCAGACGGCTATTGCCCAAGGTCTCTTTGTTGAATGGCATAGCCGCCCTGTTATCCTTCCTGCAGAAGGAATGAGGGTGAACAGGGCACCCTAGGCTAGACCTGAGAGTAAAGCCGCCATTTGCAAACCCTCCGTTCACACGGGATCTTCGCCTGTCTAGCCTTTGTTTGTGTTGTATCCAATCCAGACTCATCGTTGAGGCTCATCGTGGGTTGTCAAAATGATATGTGTAAACAGTGTGCTGTTCCATTCTTTAGGAAACACCAATGACTCCGGTAAGTACATGAGGACTTTGTCTCGTGAGACACAGTCACCAGAGTGAAGCTCGTTGCCACCACTAAAGGTCTCTCTGTGGGTTTGCTCATTGGGTTGCTGGATCGCAAGTGCATCGCTAAGGTGCATTTGCTGGAATGTATAGCTCGCTTGTGACAAGCAGCGCAACAACACACAGAGTGCAGTGCCCAGCAGGCCATGGCAGAGCACTAAAGAGGACTGGGCGACTTTGTTGCCAGGCTCCCCACATCCAGGGCACTCCCACCTCTAACCAGGGCTTCCCCTTGCAGGCAGGCGGTTGGTCAGTGGCATGTAGATGAGACTTCCGGAAGAAGAGAGAGGGTATGTTGAGCTTGGAAGCAAAGGCACCATGTGAGCCAAGGAAGGAAAGAAGTCAGGCAGAATCGCCAGCCCAAGCCCTGGCCAGGTCCTTGGCACGAGTCATCTCATTTTAGCCTGACAACCAATGAGATAGCATGCCATCATCGCCACTTACAGACTAGGAGACAGAAGCGCAGAGGGATTGGGCCAAATCCCCCAGTTCAGACTCTGGAACTCGCCCTCAGAACCAGGCCGAAAGGTAGTCTTTTAACTGGGGAGATCAGTAAAGCGAGTGTAAGAAAGAATGATTTACCTGTTTGGAGATGTTTTGCCGCTGCTCTTGACCCACCCCAAAAAAGTTTCAAGTTTGAGTCTTACCACAGACAGTATTTTCCACAAAGTAAGTGCAGGCGTTCTGCTGGTGTTTGCCAGAGACCAGGCTATAGTTGTGCACACACTTAAGGCCTATATGACCCAGTGTGTACACACCAAAATGTCTTATAATGGAAGTCCACAAAAAAATCTAGCAGTACCCAAGTTCTCTGCCTTTCTAGACTGGCTATAGACCCTCTTTGGTGGGTTTATTTTATTATAGAACATAGGAACACATATATACATTTTAAAAACAAATAAAAAAAGAAAAGAAATGCTACAACATGGATGGAGCTCCCAGGAATTATGCTGAAGTGAACAATGCGGGTCCCAAAAGGTCACCACACACTGTATGATTCCTCTTATTGAACTTCTTTTGAAATGACAAAGCGGTAGAAATGGAGAACAGAATAGCTGTTGCCAAGGAAGTTGGGGGAGTGAGGGCGCAATTAAAGGGCAGTACAAAAGATCACTGTGGTGCTGGAACTATTTTGCAACAATGTCAACATCTTGACTGTGATATTTTACTTTGTTTATAGGATATTGCAACTGGTCCAAGGGTACACAGGATCTCTGTATTATTTCTTAAAACTGCATGCTTAACAATAATCAGCTTGGAAAAAAACATTTGTTTATTTAAGTTAAAGCTTAACTTAAATGAGTTGTGTTTTTTCTCTCTTATCAGTCTCAAATAAAATGAGGAACTGAGCTATGTGCCAAAGCCTGGGAGAAAAGCAGATAAGACAAGTAGTTAACCATTAATGCATTCATTTTTATAATAATAATTTATAGATTATCAAGGGTTCATGAAGGAGGGGGTTAGGGAGGGAAGGGAAAAAAATGAGGAGCTGATACCAATGGCTCAAGTAGAAAGCAAATGTTTTGAGAATGATGATGGCAACAAATGTACAAATGTGCTTGACACAATGGATGTATGGATTGTGATGAGTTGTACGAGCACCCAATAAAACGATTAAATTTTAAAAATACATGCATTTTTAGAAATGATATAAGCCTGTCTTAAAAGTTTTGTAGAAGTGTTCAATTTAATGTTGAATACAAATTAACAAGAATTCAAAAACCTGATGTAAAGATTTTATCTATATAGAACACTTAAAAGGGGGAGAAAGCATTTTCGAGATTTTGACATAAATATAATGATTGAGCTGTGGGTGTATATAGGTATGTTAGATAATACATACTTATTCTTAACTAATGTTTATAGTAAAAACTCATATTCCCCTTCTCTTTCCCTATAAATTTTGGGAAATAATTCGTTTTGTTTGTTTGCTTCTGTGACTAGACTAACTACAATCTATCCTAATGATTTTTACTTACAGTGATTACACATATCCATGAACTTGACATATATCAAGTAATTCTGATGCTTCTTGTTTCGGCATGCCTTGTACATATTGACTCTTTATAAAGAGTTGTCTTTTGGCTGAAATGTATTTCTATAATTTTTCCAGAATGTCTGTTTGGCTTTTAGTAATGTGATTATCAAGTACTGTGCTGAAAAAATAAAATCTCTGTAGGATAATTTATCGATGCTCATTTGATTGCTATACCAACAAATAAATTCAATTATACAATTTAAACTGTAATGGAGTTTTGGTTTGTCTGTGCTCTATAATGCAGGTTTTTGAAATTAGATATGAATGTTTAACCAAAGACTATTTCATTACTGATATGATTTCCATGTTCAATTAAATGAGAGTATAATAGCTGCACCCAATCCTTTCATTATTAGATCTCTAAGAACAGATGCTTCGCAGTGAGCTTGCAGTTGAACTTCAAATGCGGAAAAACGAAGCTCGGTGACTTTTTCTTTTTGAAGGGTAGTTTGTGTTTCTTGTGAGGAACCCCGATGGCTAGTAGTTTACGTATTGGTCTGCTAACCACAAGGTCGGCAGAATCTAAGAGTTACAGTCTCGGAAACACACCGGGACGTTCTTCTCTGTGCATAAGGCTGCTGTGAGTCACATTAGACTTTACGGCAGTGAGTTTGGTTTGATGGTGGTCGTTAACCTTCCTGGAGTGAGCCATTACTCACAATGACGCGGCGCAGAATGTAACAAACTTGGCCCAGTCCTGAGCAGGGCCATTGTGATCCATAAGGTGTGATTAGCTGGTTTTCAGGAGTAAATTTCCAAGTCCTGCTCCCTAGTGCGTCTTCCTCAGAAGTTCCGCTGAAACCTGGTGAGCACGGAAGCAACACCAAAGCCACCACTGACCGCAGAGTGGCCGCTGCTCACGAACCAAACAAGGGGACTTCAAAACATTCGTGGGAGACGGAATGAAAAGACAGTAGACTGGGACCAAGACCTTCGTCTCCCACACGGAAGGCAGGAACTGGATACTCTCTCCAGTGCCTCATTCTAAAGGAGAAACGAACTCCCCTCAAGTGGATTCCAGCTCAGAGTGGCCCTATGCATAGGAGTAGAATTGCCCCTGTGGGTTTCCAAGACTGTAAAGCTTTACAGGAGTAGAAAACCTTCTTTTTCCTGCTGAGCGACTGGTAGATTCAAACTGCTGACCTTCCTGTTAACTGCTCAACATGGAACCTATACCTCCCCCAGAGCTCCTCGATAAATACAATAAGCCTAATTCTGCACATAGCAAATGGAGATGTAGCCACCGGTGTTGTCCCTCTTTGGGGCATAGGTCAAAGTGTGTACATCATCACTAGGCGGTCTACTGGCCACACTGGTGCCTTAGGGGACTTGGGGACCAGGACGCGAGGGGACCAAGGTCAGGTTACCCAGTAAGCAGTGTAGGCACCAGTTTGCTCATCTGTGGTGAGCAATTTCCCTTAGCTTTCTCCACTTCTCTAAGGTGGCAGTGGTGGGGAGGTGGGGAAGGTAGGTCAAGTTGCATGCTGCGGATTGGTGGGAAGGCACCATTAGTCTCAGGCATGCCTTACTGACTGTGTGATCTGGTTCTGCCCAGCAGAGTGCCAGCCAAATGCCAGCTGTTGGAATCTCGCACAGCGTCCTCCTGTGGACAGCTCCTACCCGGAAGCGTACCTGTCTGTGTGACATACGCATCTCCAGTGGAAGGACCATTTCACTGAAAGGGACGCACTGCGAGGAAAGCAGCAGTGTAAGGCACGGGTAGAGTGGGGTGATGGAACAGAAAATAAATACCAACGTCAGCTATTTTGCTTCTTGCTTGAGAATCACAATGGACAAGTGCCGGGAAAGCCCTGTACAAAGCGACACGCACAGAGGGGAGGTAGGGTGCTGTCTTAGTCGGTGTTTGGTGGGTAGGCTTGCTGCTGGATGGGTCCCTGGGGGTGTGGGCACCATCTGGGCTTGAGCCTGACCACTTGGCCCAGGAAGAAGTACAAGAAGTGCTTCAGATACCTGGGTCAGGTACCTACCAGTTTCTTCCCACATTGCAGTGCCAGGTGGGGCTGTCCTCCTGGGCAAGCTCTTTTACATCGGTTTCCATTCAGCTATAATCAACGCACCATACGATTCAACCGCTCCGCCGTGTGATGAAGCATTGTGTAAGCATCACCGCAATCCACTTCAGACCACGTCCTTGCTTCGTGTACCGTTACCGTGGACCCCCCACTCCCCGCCCCCTCCCCTTCCACGCCGCCAGGTGGTTATGATGTCAGGCCCTGTTTTCATCCACCCTGGCTGCCCCAAACAGAAAAACGTCTGAAATTAGGATGGGTCACAGTGCCCGACTGAGTTATCCGAGTGTTTCTCCAGCGCCCGAGTGGCGCCTTCACGGAGTCCTGTGATGGTCCTCCAGTGCAGTTCTGGTCAGGCCTTCAGTCGCACGTGGTTATCAGCTATCGTGGAGCAGGGACTGACCCACTGCAGTGACCTCTTGGGAGAGGGATCACC